CCCCAAAACCCCAAAACCCCAAAACCCCAAAACCCCAAAACCCCTATACTGTTGTTCAAAATTGAGGATGAGCCAATTAGAATTATTTTGATTCAGATTTTGGTTGTTTCTGAAGATCTCTGAGCTTCTCATCGATCATTTCATGCAGCCATACATCATGCCCAAGGTTAATCTTTTCAACATAATCAAGGGCAACTTCTCCGTAGATTCCGTGACCGAGGGTAATTGCGTTTTTAGCATCCTTCTGACCGACTTCAAAGCATCTGTCTACTGTCTTTTGGTCAAAGTCTAGTGGGAGGAAAGAATCTGAAAGGCTTTCTGAAGGGACAATTAAATATCTAAAATTGACATCTGGGAAGAGGAGGAGTGATGAATTATAATCATTCATTCCATTATAGAAGCTTGATATCTCATGTCCTCTCAAAAGATGCTGCATTGTGCTATATTTGTGGAGGTTATCGACCTCCTTGATTCTATGATTTCCGCATAAAACCATGTCAATAATGATATCCTCGTCATCATCTACGACTTCTCTGCATCTTCTGACAGCTGAAGGGATATCAATATTCCAAATAACTCCTCCATCTACAAGTTCATATTCTCCTCTTGTCACATGAGGGAAGACAGCCGGGATAGATGAGGATGCAAATGCTGAATCTAGCCAGTCTTCGGGTTGATCATAAGTAGCGTTGTAATCCCAAACTTTATAGGTAGCTCCATTAGCATCAACTGTCGCAAATGAGGCTTTTCTCTTGATTACTCTATCTCCGAGATTATCAGCAACCCAAACCCTTCCTGGGTTTAGATCGAAAATTCCCTTTTTGAAGAATAGCCCTTGAAGAATACCTCCGGGCCAATTACCAAAAGCTTTATAGTCTGGAATACTAGCCCAAAGCCCATAGATGAATTCTTTAGCTTCTTCAATTTCTTCTGGAGCAAAGGCTGAGAGCCCAAGTGTATTTAATGATCCGGCTGAGACTCCTGTAAGTACATCATATTGAACTTCTTCAGCTGGCAAGTTATTTACCAAGCCAACAAATACTGCAGCTTCATAGGCTCCCTTGTCACCACCACCAGATAGAGCAAGAGCTCTGCATTTCTTGGCCTGAATATTATTGCAGAGCAATAATATTGCTAAAACAATGAGAAGGCTTTTCATCTTGATCTGACCTTTTCTAATGATTATTATAAAAATTTGTCTCAATATTAGTAATAGCAAGGGGTTTTGGGGTTTTGGGGTTTTGGGGATTGGGGTTTTGGGG